CTCTGCTGCTGGCTGCTTTACTATCACTTTTTAAGTGACGATCGATCCTTGGAGCTAATCTCAGTTGATCTATATAGGCATAGGGAAAATATTGCCAAAGTAAGATTTTTAAAGAAAGATTTTTATTTTACATGGATGTATATTTTCCCTCCTTTTATGTCTACACTGTGTTCATGCCAGGTACCCACATAGGTTAGAATAGGGGAACGGATTCCCTGGCACTTGAGTTAAGATATGTTGTGAACATCTGTATGGGTGCTGGAACTGCAACTTGGGCCTTTTGCAAGAGCAGTCAATGCACTTAATGGATGAGTCATTTCTTCAGCAACCAGGATAGGACTTTAAACTCTGCTTCTGTTGTATTCAATAAGGGAATTGAAAAAAAAATCTAGATCTGAGAAGAGAACCCCAATTAAAAATAACTTCTACAAATTTCTGATGGACCTCATAATCTATCTCAAATCTGTTTTCATAGAGCTTATCAATTATGTGGCATGGGGCAGGAGTTCAATAAACATAAAAAGAAAGGAAATATGCATGAAAAATTGCAAAATACACAATGCTTTTGACTGAGATAGCAAGTGTGTTTAATATAGTTGAGAAGTCAGTCAGGTTACAGAGACAAGAAAGATCAAGAAGAAATTTGTATTACCATTCAGGAAGTGCTTGGGAAAACATTTTAATTTTTCTCTTGTCTGAAAGTCTGTACTGTACTTTTAACTACTGTTTCATTTTCTGGTAAGAAAACAGTTCGGTTATATTTGCTCCAGTCCTATTATTCTTCTTCTCAGGAATAAAAAGAAGGCTAACAACAGAGATGCTGGCAGCCCTGGTAGCAGAAGTATTATACCAAGACAAGATTTTTGAAGTTTATGATGAATAAATACTGGTGTACAACTTGGCTCACCTACAGGCTAAACTCAGCAGAACTAAGTTCTTTGTGAATTATGCTCAGTGAGATCTCAGCACAGATAAGTTTACTTGAAAATGTATCAGTAGTTTCTGCGGCGACGGAGGGGACAGATATTTATGAGAATCATAAAAGCTGAGAACTGTAAGTAGCTGTAGAAATTGGAGTATAATTGTTTTGTTTTTCCCAACAAGCCAGCTACAGACTCAGAGATATAAGTCCACTAGCTCACGCTTCAAATGACTTTAGGTTCCTACTTTCAAATACATGTACATAAAACATCTGATTTTTGTCTAATTAAAATTAAATGGCTAGCTGAAATTTACTTTGGGCATTTTTAATTGTGAAAACCACCTAACATAAGTTTATTATCCTAGTTAGTTTCAAGTGTACAGTTTAATAGTGTTAACTATGTTCAGAGTTTTGTCAGGAAGATCGCAAGTATTTTCATCTTCTGAAATCAAAACTGTGTACCCATGAACAACTTCTCTTTGGGCCCATGGTAACCGTTCTGTCTCTGCTTCCATGACTCTGACTAGTACTTGTCAATGCTCGTGCAGCAGTTGTGCTTTCATGGCTTTACAAGGCAACCTGTCCTCAAGGTGTACCTACGTTTAGTGGGGATGACGCAGTCCACTGTAGGTACAGGCCACATACCTATCCACCCGTCAGTAGACATTTTCATTACCTTTTGACTTTTGTAGACAGTGTACAATTCCTTTAATATGTGTTACAATTATCCCTAATGTACGAATCAACCTTTCTTTAGTCCACCAAAACCACGGCTAAGTATCCTTTTGAAATTCTACAAATACTACAATGGTACTTAAACTAAATGCACGCATGTGAAAGACACAAGTTGCGCTCTCTTTTCTCCTGTCACTATATTTTCCTAAAATAATCCTGTCATTTTCACAGGTGTTCTGTAAGGATGGGAATTATTACATAGATTTCACCTTTATTCTGACTTTCTTCACCACCCAGGGTACTGGGGCAGACAGGGACAGATGCTGTCTCAGGTAACGGCTGCTCAGTTCACAGTAGCACACTCAGCTCCTGGGGAGCATTGCTCTGGAATGGTCTTTAGAAATAGCAACAAAGCAGCAAACATATATGGTTTGAAATTCATTTACTACCACTCAAAATACTCATAAATTGAGCAACTTAATTTGCTTTTAGTAGCCTATAGAAATAATTAAGTGCACACTAAGAAACACTGAAAATACTTCACCTTGTATGCATATGTGCTCAGAGTAACCAAATTCCAGCCCCCTGTATCTTTATATCTTTAATGTAGCACATTCTGTCTGCACTTAATGACTTCTACAATAGATTTGAAATTCTAACCCTTCCACTGTCTGGATTGCATAGTTAAAGAAAACAAGTTTAAGAAGAAACACTGGAGCAGAAAGTAATGACTACTGGAAAGCTGATGCTAAGATTGTTTCATGACATTATCCGGACTAAGAACATTTCCACTTTACCTTAGTGTACAGTTGTATGAAATAGTACTAATATATTCCTTCATACTAATACTTGGCTAATAAGAGAAACTGTTTTTCTGGTGGCTGTCTTTCCATCACTGTCCTTGATAGGTTACCAAGTACTTTTTGACACCCTTTAGTGCTAATTTCAGCAGTCCTGAAGCTAGTGGCCGGAAACATCTCCATACAGAACATTTTTCTTCCCTACAAATCACAGACTCATCTAGTTCACCACATTATGTGAATGATCTGTGAAAGACATTCTCCTCAAGACTGCACCACAACCAACTTTTGTTACCAAGGCTTTCTGCTCTGGAAGAACCCAGAACTGGAGAGTCATTTCACTCTAATGACCCCTGTTGGCATGACATACACATATCATATGTACTCACTCACAAGTGGCTTTTAGACATGAAGTAAAGAAACCAGCCTACGATTCACAATCCCAGAGAACCTAGACAACAATGAGGACTCTAAGAGAGACATACATGGATCTAATCTACATGAGAAGTAAAAAAAAAAAAAAAAAAAAAAAAAAACCAAGATCTCCCGAGTAAATTGGGAGCATGGGGACCATGGGAGAGGGTAGAAGGGGAGGGGAACAGAGAAAAATTTATAGCTCAATAAAAAAAAAATTAAAAAAAAGAAAAAAGAAAAGAAAAGGACGAAAGCTTCCTTCTCATGGGTGCCTTGGCTTTCACTACTTTTCATGCAGAAGTGCTAAAATTCTTAGGACTGAAATGTAAATTCCTGAAACCATGGGATGATTTTTTTTTTTTAGATGAATTCATTTTTTTCAAGTTTCAAGCAGGGGTACCATCAGTCAAGACATGGCTGGAAATTCCTGAAATCATGATCATATTCATGTGTCCAAATGAATCTTATCAATACAGACCCCTAAGCCTGGCTGACTGTTCATACTAGTGTCCATTCCCAACAGTCTTTTCCTCTGTTTTGCCCACAGGCATGTGGTGATCAAGCCAGATACAGAACAAGGTCAGAACTATTAATTCACTATACTTAGAAACTATTTCCTCCTTGATGAACACATGATCTTCATGAATGTCACTGGAAAGAAAGCCCCACGTGTTAGAGACGCTGGGGGTCACCCAGAGAAGCAAGGGCTAGTACAAGGCAAGTAATAACCTACAACAAGGTATTCCACATAATGTTCCCTTAACAGAAAAAGGGACAGGTAGGTGTGGTGGCACACACCTATAATTCTAACATCTGGGCTGTATAGTGAGATGCTGTCTAAAAAATGAACAACAAAATCAAGAAAACTCACCATCGAGTGTGGCAAACTGCAGACTGTCATCAATGAGGATGATTAAGTGATAGCAATGATAGTTAATGTCCTATAAGTAGTAACAGAAGGAATTCTGGAATTTCTTTAGCAGGAAAAGACCCAAGAATCTGGCTGACTTTCCTGCCACTTGCCTAAGGTAGAAAGATGGGCAATTCTTTGCTGACCAGGCTGCCTGTGAGCTCCTCACCCAGACTGATCCACAGTATATCTTCCTGGCTCTATCTGGTGCATACCCTAAATCTTACCCAACCTTTCTGACCCTCCTTGAAGAACAAACAGGAAAGGCAGATTTAGTGAGGGCTACTCCAGAACTTACTGCTTGGGCCAGCGTGTCTTCCCAGAGCCATCTCATATGGATAGAATGGTAGTTTAGCAGAAGGTGGAGGAATATATTTGCTGGCTCTGATATACAGTATGGTGTGTATATAGCTAAGAGATTTGAGACTGGCACACCAGACTGCAATTTTCAGAAAGAAAGCTGGCCTAAGGAGGCCAAGGATAAAACAAGTACAAGTGGGGTCATAGTCATGGTGAAGAAGCAAGAGGCTGACTTGTTCACTGTGAAAGAAAAACAATCTGTTTCTTCCCAAAATGAGAATAATCATTACAGCTGTGTGAAGGTTAAGAAATGCTGGTGCCACTCTGAATCCCTCAGTGTTTGACATCAGTCTTTGACACTTTAATTACTTCAGAAGACAGCCATTTCTCACGACCATGCTGCCACAAGTACGAGACTTGCCTTACAAAGCTCTAGAGAAACAAGGCTGAGTCAGGTGACTCCCAGCACTGATGCAGAATGAAATCAGAAACGCCTCTCAGGGGCCTGTGTAGGTTAGCATGCAAGCAGGTGTTCTCTGTACCCTGCACCTGCAAACACTGCCCATGCTAACATAACTCATGCTTATACACTTCTATTCATCTTAAATCCTGATGAGAAAGACGAGAAAAAGGATGAGATATTTACGCTTTGATATATCCCACATAGCCATGTAGACTACATCCTAAAAACACCTGGATTAAAAAGCAGTTTTCCCCAGTTTCTCAAACTAAAGGCATCAACTTTAGCAAAACATGAGAGCTCAGTTTCCCAGAAGAAGCAGGTCCTGGTATGTTCCTGTAGGATGTCACTGAATCTGGTGACAAGATAATTCATCTTGCATGTCTGCACTAGGAAAAGGAAAGTGTCTCACCATCCTGAGTGTAAATCACAAACACCAAAGCAGTGATGTCCAATCAAGGAGGGAATGTCACCGCTGAAGGTGTGTGATGAAAAGCGGTCTGTCCTGAACCATCTTACCTGTCTGCGGATTATTTCAAGGTCTCTTTTGGCTTTATTCACCAGGGCTTGAATTTCTACAGGATCCTTTACACTCTTATTTTCTCGGAAGGCATCTCTTATCCTCCTGACAGCATACATTCTAATGAATTCAGAGAAAAAAAGAATAAGAGATGTTAATAGGTTATGAGGTTCTGCTTTAAAATGAATTTAAAGATTTTTTTCTCTAGAAATAACTGTTAAATATTCTCCTACAGATAACCCAGTTTGATCTTTGCTTGTTTATTCTAGGATGACTAAGCAAACAACTTTAGGAAAGTAGTCTTTCCCAAACAAGCCACATACAGATGGCAAACTTGCTAAAATGCTCCTTAGATCACTAGCTCTTTGGAGTAAGGCATGTCTGGCTTTCCTCCATTAACATGGATAATTGACACTTTACTGTACAGACTCTAATCAGGAATTCTGAGGGCAAATGATGCATTTCATGTGTATGTACAAGGACAGTGATCAGCCTTCTAATTCCTGCCCATTAGATGACAGCTGGGTAAGCAAGCCCATGAGCATCTCCAGTGTACTTTTATGACACAGTGTCTCTGTTCCTCATCACAACAATTTTCTCCTCCAAAGCACCTTCCTTTTTATGCTGATGGAAATCAAAAAGGCATAAAATTTTAATTCTACATGTAGGACAGTTGGCATAGAACTTGCAATTCTCCTAGCTTAGCCTCAGCAGTGTTGAGATTATAAGCACATATTACCATTCTTTGCTTAATTCTAATATATTTTTGGGAGGTTAAGATAAGGCTTCTCTAGGTAGTCCTGGTTGTCCTAGAACTTACTCTGTAGGCCAGGCTGGCCTCAAACTCTGAGATCTGCCTGCCTCTGCCTCCCAAGTGCTGGGATTAAAAGCGTGTGACACTATTGCCCAATTTAATTCTAAAATTTCAATGTACATGCAAAACTGGTTATGTAACAGGACCTGATTTCCAGGTGTCATGTTTCTCTTGTGGCTGCTGCTTGTCTACTGAGTTCTGCCCACATCCCTCATCCATTGCTTTAATTCAGGATTTATCAGAACTTTTGTGAGAACACCACAGCCTATAGAAGTCATTGATACCCTGATTATCTTTTTCTTTTAAGAATGGGTAAGTGGTTCAGAACACCTAAAAGAAAAAGAATACTGCACAGAATGGAAATAAATGTAAAGTCCCTCCTCCCCACCAAAGTTTAAGATGCTCTACAATTTATACCAATTAAGCTCAAGGTTGAATTCAGAATATTTTGCTCTACACTTCTTCTTCTTCTTTTTTTTAATCTCCTCAGCTTTCCAAAGACCTTAACTAAGGAAATTCAGCTCTATATCTCAGAATTTAATATGTCAAAGTCAGCTGGTGAGATTGCTCAGTAGGTATTTGCTATTCAAGCCTGCCAATCTGAGTTGGATCCTTGGAATTCACATAAAAGTGGAAAGAGAGAATCAATCCCACAATATTGCCCTCCAAACCTCCATACAGGCACTGTGAGCCGCCTTCCTCAATGACAGACAGACAGACAGACAGACAGACAGACAGACACACACACACTAAAAAATCTCTGTTTAACACCTATACACACCTTTGAAACGACAACACGATGGTTCCCTTCTCTTTTTCCTTTCTAAGGAAAGACACTCCCTGGCTCAGAACCACAAGATGCTTTTGTATAGGTAATTTCTTTCCCAGTTATGTGCCTATATTTCAAATGATCAGTTTGGGGAAGGTCAACACAATCTAGATAATCCCTCATGTCGTGGGAGGACTATCCACCCAGTTATTTTAACCCTGCCTCACTCTGGTTTTACTCTCCTTTCTCTTGCCCTCCTTTTCATTTATGTATTTTTCCAATGTAAAAATCAGCACAAGTTTTAGACGGGAGTGGTGGTGCATACCTTTAATACCAGCACTCAGGACACTAAGGCCAAAGTAAGTTACTAAAGCGTACATTAAAAAAAAAAAAGCCCCGAGAATAAGGCAAAGGTACACAACATGAATACTGAGAATGAGCAATCCAAATTGTTTATGAAATTAAAGCTATAATGAAAGGAAATGTCCTAAAGTTGAGTGTAAAACCCTGACAAGAATCACCAAGATTTAATAATACTAAGATATTTACTTCAACTGCCAAGTCCAAGGTTGGATAAGACAATAATTTTAAAGGAGCAAGAACTCAAATAAAAGATAGGGAATGGGACACAGAGATGTGCTCAGAGGTGAAATTTTAATATCCAAAGAGAAAGGCTGCTCCTCACATGTGACAGTCCAGAAGGATAAAGCATTATATTCAGGGTACAGTACCATGAGGTATACTGCACCCGATATCCCTTTTCTAATTTAAGTCCCACATACTATGACTCAGGGAGATTGGAGCCAGTGTGTGGCACTATTGGGCTCTGAACTCAGGTGATTATCTTTCAATCCTAAGTCATTCCACCTGAGGTTAATAAACCATCCAGTATTTGATAAGTGCCTGGGTAAGCCAAAACAAACTGATACTCATTTGAAAGGCGTTATAAAAACATCTCTGGCAAGGAAAAGCTTTTAAGGTCATCTTCACTCTCAACACCATCAAGGGCTCCTACAAGCAGTTCAAGTGTCGAGCCTGTCCTACAAAGACAAGTGGCTGAGAGCCTTAGCGGGAAAGAGCTGTTGATATAAGCACCACAAGTGAAATAATTGGGTTTAATTGTTTCAAAAGGAAGCAAGACAACTGAAGGGTTGTAGAGTGAGATGGCTAAATTAACACGAGAAAATACACTTTAGGGACCAATGTAAAGTTTCTGAGTTCTGGGGTAGCTATGAATAAAACCTACTGTACTTCTCGGTTCAGAATTCTCTCATTGTTTTCCACTGTCTGGAGATCAGGGTCAAATGGTTTATCAAAGACTCTGGATCATCTTTCATTCCTTCTAGCACCTTCTATATGGACTAATCACCAGTCATGTGGGAAAACATGTTTTTTCCTCAGTTTTCTGCTTGAGGCTAGCTAGCTCTGTGTACATAAAGTATTCTTTTGTCAGAGATTTTTGAGCAAACTGAATTCATTTCTAAAGACCTAAGTCAGTTACAAACAAATATGACAGAGGAGTAATAACCTACACTTGAATAAATATCAAATATTAAGCCAAGCAAAAGGACAAAGTAAACCAACAGTAAAGACCACGGTAAATCAATGAGTAAGAAGCATGAAACAAAACTTTATAGGAGGGTACACAGACACTGAATCTAGAAAGATAGAGCTGTGTGAATGGCCAGCCCTAGGCATCATCCAAGAAATACATACTCAAACAAAGCACTGCTTTTCTGGTCTTCACTTAACATATTTAGCAACAGTCAAGGAACCAGTCACCTTGCCGGTGAGACGATGAACTGATACTGCAGCACAATAATGGGGAATAACTCCTCAAGCTTAGCCCGTGAAACCCACCTTCGCTGACCTATAACTTGCAAGTAGCCTGGAAGAAGTTATATGCATAATGTTTGTTATAGATATATTTGCATTACAAATAGAAAAAATTTACATGTTCAACACTGGAGAAAAGTCACAGGTCTAAATGTGTGAAGTGAAAACTTGCTCCTTTCTATTTTGGCCCTTTAGGCAACCGACTTCCTTCCTTCCTTCCTTCCTTCCTTTTTTTTTTTTTTTTTTTTTTTTTTGAGACAGGGTTTCTCTGTGTATCTCTGGCTGCCCTGAAACTCACTCTGTAGACCAAACTGGCCTTGAACTCACAGAGATTGTCTGCCTTTGCCTCCCTGAGGTAATCGACTTTTTATATGCAATCAGTGATCAGTCTCTTACATATCTTCCCAGAAATCTAAGATCCTAGAGACACTACTAACACCGGGACAGCAGTCCCCAGAAATAGGGCTCCAGAGCTCAGGTGAGATACAGGCTGGTAGAGAGTCTAATTTACTGACACCAAGTGTGGGGTAACTGAAGGCCAGAAGAGCTTTCCCAGTGAAAACAGTACATGTCAACGAGAAGCTGGCCTTGGATGGAGCCCTGCAGATGTCCTACCAATACAGAAGAGTAGACATGGGAGAATCCATAGAGAATGGGAGAAAGAGGGCTCAGAAGGCAGGTGGAGAAAGTGAGAAGATGCACGTGAGACATCCATAGAGTGGATGAGATCATCTGTGGGGTTTCCAACAGTGGCATCCATAGGAGCAACGCCATCACAATCTAGTAAATAGTATAGTAAAAGCTCTAACTAACTCTGGAAGCACATTTATGAATAACAATTAGGAGTAGAAAGAAATTTATAACACAATTACGAAAATGTCTTCAACAATAAAAATATATGAAATCTTTGGAACATAGTCAAAACCGTATATGAAAATTAATGACGTAAATATTTTTATTATAAAATACTAACTTCAACAAATTACATACTTCTTTACATTCTAGAAAAACAAAATTGTATAATCCCTATGAGAAAATAGAAAATAATGTATTCAAAATTAGGAAATCAAAAAAAAATCAGGTGAAATTAGCTAAGACAGATAGGTTTTTTTTTAATAATGATATAGTATCTGGCTCATATTATCAGGAAAACAATTACAAGAAAAAAGTGAGGAAGTTGGAGGTTTGAAAAACATGGCTTAAAAAATTATTTCAGAATTAGTGTGAAAACACTTCAGAACTCGCCAAGGGCTGTTAGGAATGGCAGGTACGCTCAGCTGCACGGGTGAAGACAGGTGTACAGTAACACCAGATGCAGCCTCGGCAGCAGATATAACACCAGGACAAAGGAGAGACTCTCTCCACAGCTCAAGAGATAAAGTACGAATATTTCCCCTCCACAGTCACTCAGTTTCCTTTGGGAGATTCAAGTACTAATCTAAACATTCAATAAACAAAGGAGCAAGCTAACAAATCCAACCTCTAAAAAGTTACAGTAGATTAATGAAACAATAAAGTTGTGCAAATAGGAAAAACTATGTACAAACCAAAGTATATTCAGAACAATATGACTCAACAATTTCCGAGAATTGCAGTTATTGAGTAAGGCTCTATGGGGATACTTGAAAATAACATATTATTTAAAAAAAAAAATCAATGGGCTAGCAGAAAGTGAGCAAGCACGCCATCTTTCAGCAGGTG